ACAGCTAGAGCTAGAGTGGCTGGGACACAGGGAGCAGTGTCCTGAGGTTGCACAGGGCAGCAGGGCCCTGGGTCTGGCCCATGAAACCACTCTTCCCAAATCCAAACCATATCAGGAAGGAAGAGGAAGAAGCTAACTAGGAGATGGAAGAACTGGGCACAGAACAAGAGGCAGGACCACACAACACTGGGATGCACAGCCAGCTGTGTGTTTGCATCTTAACCCATTTAATAGCCATGTGGCCTCAGCAGTAGCTCCCCACTCAGTTTCCTCATCTCTCAAGTGATAATAACCTCAGTACCATTGAAAGGAGAAAACAAGTTATATTTGCAACACCTTTAGAAAGTGTGTGGCACGTATTGTGAATTATGTAATCAACATACACATCAAGAAGTGCCTGGCATTACCCAGGGTTCAAAAAGTGTTTACTGAATGAAAATCATTTGTGTGTTATTTGGGCTTTGATGATTATATTGGTAGGAAATACCCATATCTCCAATTGTACAACTCCATCCTTGCATCATCACAAATCATGCCCCAATAGAGAAAAAAAAAAATTTCAAGAATTGTCAATGACTTTCTTCACATCTAGTCTGTGCCCACATCCCATTGCATTGTTTCCAGCCTCTGAAGACACAGGGGAAATGAAAGTGGCCCCTGCTCTCTCATTGCACAAAGAACCACCTCAAGTTCAAGTACCAAGATTGCACTACAAAGTGGCTACTGCAGCCTGGTGGGTTGATGGGCAAGCCTGGCCCCACACAGAATGGAAAATACATTCACACAAACATCTCAGTCAAACCTGTCCAGACAGAAAAGCTAGAAAAGACTCATGGAAAAGGAATTCAAATTGGGCATGGTGGCTCACACCTGTAATCCCAGCACTTTGGGAGACTGAAGTGTGAGGGTTGCTTGGGCCCAGGAGTTTGAAACCAGCCTGGGCAACATAGTGAGACCCTCTCTCTGCTAAAAAGAATTTAAAAATTAGCCTGGCATGGTGGCACGCACCTCTAGTCCTAGCTACTCGGGAGGCTGAGGTGGGAGGATTCGATTGAGCCCAGGAGGTAAATGCTGCAGTGAGCAGTGATTGTACCACTGCACTCCAGCCTGGGCAACAGAGCGAGACTCTGTCAGAAAAAATTAATCTTTAGCAAAATTAAAAAGCTTCTGACCACAAAGAGAAACATCTATGTCACTGGAGCTGAGAATTAGGAGAAATAAAAATAAGACAGTGGGAATCAAAGACAGGAGAGAGGATGATGCGAGATGATGGGAGCCTCTGTCCTGGGAGCAAAGCCCCAGCTGACCCAGAGTGGGAAGGGCCCAGCAGCTGGATCTGGAGGCGGGGAAACACCCAACAGCACTCAGGGGACCAGAGGACGAAGGAGCTGCTCTCCACGCTCTCAGGGAAAAGCAGGGACATTTCAGGCCCAAAGAAGAAATGAGTCTCAGTAGTGAATCCATAGACAGGGCTACGTCTCAGTCACTTTGAGTGAGTCTAGATGGGCACAGTGCTTGTCCCTCACTCTGAGGTCACAGGAGGGTCTGAGGACTTGGGACTGTTCATTTCTCCCAGACCATGGCCTTCCTTTGGCAATGGACTTAGTGCTGGGACTAAATTAGACCCCAGTTTTATCAACTAATTTATTAGGCTTTGTTATTTTGCTGCAGATTTGTTCAAAACCAAAAGTATTGATGGAGGAGAAAATCACAAGCCTGGCAGTCCTGACCTCTTTGGATGCAGAGCCGCATGACATTAAAAATTCCAGACAATATTTATGCTTCTCTATAAGATACGTGTTATTAGTCCTCATCTAAACACATTTGTAAACATAACTTGATGTAAGTTACATACAATATGTCACTGAAAATACATAAATTATGGTACCCTCCAATGATTATTTAAAAATTAAAATAGAACAATAAAGCAATCTTTATCTATGCAGAGAAAGCCAGGATCCGTCTGTCACTGATTGCTGAAATATATTCTACACCTTTCAAGGACAATCGCTGAAGGAGAAAGTCAAACAGATGATTTCCTAGAAGTTAAAAGGGGAAATATTTGTGCTGGGTTCCTTTCTCCTCAAATGATGGTTTAGGCTGCAGGGGACTGGGGTGGGGAGGGGTTGACATTAGATAATCACAAAAAGAAAGAAATAGAGACTAGAAGATTTCATGCTGAAATAAAGAAATTCATGTTGCCTTAAATATAATTTGTGTTAGTTACATTTTAATCCCTAATTTATACATAGCAGGGTTGATAAAGAATTGCATTACAACGAAATTAGCTGGAATAATTAGCATAGTGTATGTGCCACTGATTAAACACCCAGCAGATAGCTTGGTAATTAAGATCAGTGAGTGTCGTATTTTGAGGCTTTGTCATCTTATTACCTGCCTAACAAGTGCTTCATCTTTACGTCCCTTCTGATTTGAAGTTTGATAGCAGTCTCTAATAATTCTCGTTTTGTTTCTTTAAATTGCCTTGCCCCAGTGCTGATCATTTTCCTATGGTCACTACCCCCCATTTCATGGTACCTACACAAATGTACCAGCGCTAGATTTCTCCCTACATGTAAGATATTTGATGCTGCAAAGTATTTGTGCTTGGAAATTTAAGCTCAAAAATCTCCTTCAAAACCCCCAGTTCTTGGGCCAAAGAAAGAAGCCGAGACCAATTATACTCTGCAGTTCGGTCAAGCCTCTGAACAGCAGGCAGATGTTCGGAGTTCGTATTTCCCTTCTGGGCAGAGTCCATTACCAGAGATTCCAAGGATGTCTCCATTGGGGTCCATTTGTCAGGGTCTGTGACACTAAAAGGCAGTCACTCCAGTGGCACTGGCTGCTGCTCATTCATGAGCCCAACCTGTGGTGCCATTGCTCCTCCACCCGGGGAGTCTGGAGTTGGCTCTTGTCATTAAAAAATCCATTGGGGTTTTATCATAGAAGGCAGGGCATTACTATTATCAAAGAATAGAAGGCTTGGGAGGATCAACTCAAGTTCTTCACTGGCTGAGCCATCCCCCTGCACCTCCTTAGACTAAAACCAGGACATTTCCATGATTGAAAGGCAGAGTAAATACACTAGCTGTATCAATCAAGAATGCCTTCAGCTGTAACAGAAAACACACAGAAAGTGCTTACGGCATAAAGACAAGAGGTCTGGTGGCTGGGGTTCCAGAGCTGGGGCAGGGGTTCAGAAATGTCATCCCCTGTCTCTCTCCCACTTTCCGTCCCACTCTCCTTTGTGTGATAATCCTTCATTTCATATCTGTTGCTTCCTGGCTGTGATGTGGCTGCTGCACCTCCAGATATCATGTCCATGTTTAAGGAAACAAGAACAGGAAAGAGAGATGCCAGCCACTTCTGTCCTTCTTGATCAGGAAAGCAGATAACTTCCCAGACTCACCCCAGCAGCCCATGCCTGCTACCGCCAGCCAGAATTGGGTTGCAAGGGAGACTGGACATTGAGTAGCAAGCAAAGGAGACTGCGACTGACATTACCGACCTAAATCAACGTGACTCATCCCCAGGGACTGGGCACAGTGCCCCCACCAAGAAAGCCAGGCCTTGTTGGGCAGGTGGAAGGAGAGTGGATGTTGGGCAGGAACTACAGTGCCTGGCACCTCAAGTGCAGATGGAACAGAAGCTGGAAAATCACACAAAGGAGCTGAAAGGAGGAAGAGGGTATATTAGTCAGTGTTCTCCAGAGGAACAGAACCAACACTATGTAGGGAGAGACAGAGAATTTCTCTTCAAGAATTGGCTCATACTATTGTGCAGTCTTGATAAATGCATCATCAGCAGGGTGGGCTGACAGGCTGGAGACCCAGGGAAGACCTGAGGTTGAGACCAAAGGCTGTCTGCCGCCAGAATTCCTTCTTGCGCAGGGAAGGTCAGTCTTTGGTTCTAATCAGACCTTCGGCTGACTGATTGAGGCCCACACGACATTAGGGAGGGCCATTGGCCTCACTCCAAGTCTGCCAGTTCAAGAAATTCCAATCTGATCCCAAAAACACCTTCATAGAAACATCTAGACTAGCGTTGGGCCAAGTCTCTGCGCACTGTGGTCCCAGCCAAATTGAGACAGAAAATTAAGCACAGGGGAGGAAAAAGTGGGGAATGGAAAAGGTGGCAAGATGTGAGGCAAGGCGAAGGAGGCCCTGTAAGCTCCACGGCCTTCACTGGGCCCTCAGAGACCACAGTACACTTCGTGTCAGCAGAGAAGCTGCAGGAACAGCTGTGCTTAGGGACAAGTTGTCATGTAGAGACCCAAGCACACTGAAGACACAGGTAAAGGAGAGAAAGCCCCACCTCTGCCCCTAGGAGTGCACAGAAACCCACCTGAGGGCTCTGCACTTCCACAAGTCATGGAATTATAGGCTTTGAGCCAAGTTTACCAGCCTTGAGGCATGGGGAGGTCGCAGGTAATATTTAGGTTACTTTTTTCTCACTTCTGTGATGCTTTTTTCTTCCTGAGATCAGCCAGTCCTCCTCTGAATTTGGAAACCAAAGATTCCATTCTATTCTATGCAGTTTGAGGCATGTCTAATTTACAGGTGACCAGACGCTCCTTTTAGAGGAAGTGAAGGAACACAAGAGGTAGAATATTAGAAAATATTCCTTTCTGCAGAACTGAGGTCCAAGCCCAGGACCAGGAAGAGGTTTTCAAAGTTTCAGGAGAGAGCCTCACTTTTGATAAAACAAGACATTATTCAACAATACCCATGAAAGCTCTCTTTGAAAATATTGTCTCTCCTTCTTGCACCATTCACAAACATGTCTGCTGCCCCCATCTCTAGAAAAATCCTTCGCTGAGGCCTCTGGAAAGATTACTTCACACCTCCCTGCTGGCAGGTGGCCCTCCCCAGGGACTGTAAGAGGAGCCAGGGTGCTGCTACTTATAGCAGCCCTCACGCCACTCTCGCGGACAGCTGCTGATTTTGGAGTCACTTTAGAGGAAGAAAAGAAGGGCTGGTCACTGCACAAACGACATAACAATGTCCAACTCGGATTACCTTCCAGACTACCCACTCAACTCAGATTTAGTGAAGAGATTAAAGTCTGCCCTGGATGCCAAAGATGAGGAGAGAGTGGGGGATTTAATCTGCACTGAAGTCACGCCCGTGGACGCCGTGATAGAACTGGCCAATGACGACTGGATGAAAGACCCCTCGGCTCAGCTGCCCCCCGGCATGCTGCTAGGTAACCAGAACGAGCCTGCTGCATCTGGGACTTCATTACTAAGTTACGCTGATGGGTGGGCAGATCCTGGAGGTAGAGGGGCAAATGTTTGAAAAAAGCAAATGATACGTACTCGGATATCTGAATCTCGTACATACGTGCATACACGCGTACTGCATAGACCGTGTACATGCGTGTGCTACATAAGCAACAAGTGCAAGACAACACAAAAAAACTAACCCTTGGTGCCATAATCCACCACAGTGGCTGCTCTGTGGCTCCATTGTCTTCCAAGCTTGTCCATTTGCATGTGTAAATTTCACCCACTGATAACCATATCATACACATAATTGTGTGTTCTGCTCCCCTGAGATCTAAAAAATCTAAAGTATCTTCTATGTTGCCAGTCTTCCTAATTTCAATCCCCTATTGAAATACTTAAACCAAATGCTTACAAAAATATAATATTTGGTTACCTTTTTGCTCCTATAAATAATGCTGTAACGAGCATCTTTATTAGGATTCATATGGCTTTTTTCTTATTTGGGATTATATCCTTACCATAAATTCCTAGGAGCCATATAACTGGAACAAGAACATAACATTTTTTCAAAGTGTATTGTTTCTAAATTGGTTCCAAATTGTTTTCCGCAAGGGTTTCTATTCCCTCTGACAGTGAGGTGATGTGTTTTGCCACAGCCTCACCATGGAGCATCGCTGGTAATGAATGTTTGTATTAAATTGCCATTTAATAAGCATACACTGGTAATTCTTCACTGCCTGCGCCCATCCTTTCTTTGCAGGTCTGGACGAAGTCTTGTCCACAGGATTTTTTCTCTGTAGGCCTCATCAGGTGCAAGACTTGTCTATTTGGGTCTTGGGCAGGAACTCTCCATCTCTTTGAATCATTTTTATCATTTTGTAGGACTTCTTTATGTAGCAATAGAAATCAACCCTTTGTTGTGCTTCCCGAAAGCGTTTTCCTGACCTGTGATTTACTTTTAGTTGTATTGTGCTGTTTCCCAGCTTGTCAGATTAGGGGACGAGGTTAGTCTTGGCCCCTAAGGGACGCTGAGGGCTCCTCTTCACCCCCATTCTCCCTTCCAACATAGGTGCACACATGCACACACATGTGCGCAACATGCAGGAGGAACACGGATGGGACATGCGTGAGAGTTGCTGCTAGGGAATGGAGCTTTCAGGGTGCTGAGGTGCTGAGGTCTGAGATTGGAACTTCTGAGGGGGTCCGCCCTACCCCCTTGGTTTGGGTCTACTTCCTGGGCTGCCTTGCAGCGGGGACTTAAGCAAGCCGCTTTAGGAAGGAACCTTCTCTTGCTTCCTATTCACCTTGGTTTTCCTAATATCTGGCAGGGGTCAGGAGCCATGATCCAAAACTTGGTACCTTCCGTCTCTCTAGATGATTGCCCTGGGGAGATGTGGTTAGGGAAGGTTGTCATCACAAGCAGTGATTGGACCGGGAGTGCTGACCTGTACATCTTGCATTCGCCCTCAAGGCCCACCGTACCCAAGCAGCCCCAGAGGTTGATCTCTGCAAACTGCATCAGTCCCACTTGCCCTCTGGCTCCTGTTGGGTGCCACTAATGAAAGGAGCTGGGGGAAAGCGAGGGCAGGGCGAGTGCTTCCCCGGCCCTCCTTGCCAGATTGCTGCTGGGTTTAGCACCTCCTTCTGCGGAAGGCTCGGCTCCTTCCCAGCAGCTCCTGCCCCTCCTGTGCCATCAGGTACAGGGTTAGGAATGGCCACCCACTGTGGCTGCTGCCACCTGTAGGTGGTCTCCTGTAGCTCCTGTAACCCTGCCTGCCTTCAGCATGCCCTGAGCTCATGCCATCTGCTTTCTGCTGGGATCCCGACTGCAGCAAGTGTCCTCTCAACAGCTCTTCCTTCATAAACCTGTCCCAGCCGGTTAAAGATTTGTGTATTGGGAATCTTGAACCTAAATATCCTTTCTTTTCACATTACTAATTGCCCTGCAAAATCTTTACTGTGTGTCTCATTTTACCAAACACTTGAAACTGTGAAAATGGTGATAGGAAAGTTACATTCCTTCCACAATGAATCCATTAAGTTATAAATTACATACTGATATGGTTTGGCTGTGTCCCCACCCAAATCTCATCTTGGATTATAGCTCGCATAATTCCCACATGTTGTGGGAGGGACCCAGTGGGAGATAATTGAATCATGGGGGCTGTTTTCCCCATACTATTCTTGTGGTAGTGAATAAGTCTCACAAGATCTGAAGGTTTTATAAGGGGCTTCCCCTTTCGCTTGGTTCTCCTTATCTCTTGCCTGCCACCATGTAAAACGTGACTTTGTTCTCCTCTCGCTTTCTGCCATGATTGTGAGGCCTCTCCAGCCATGTGGAACTGTGAGTCTGTTAAACCTCTTTGTCTTTATAAATTACCCAGTCTCCGGTATGTCTTTATCAGCAGCATGAAAACGGACTAATACACATACACATGTACTTTTTCCTACCTAATGATTCAGCAGTGCAGGAACAATTTGATACTGATGACATGTTTAAAGTGCTTGGGTCTCTCCAGGTTGCTTCAATTCAGGATGATGGTATGCTAAATGATTAAACAGGTGATCCTAGGGCACGCCTTATCAGTGACTTTATCACAGAGAAAGCAGGCTGGACTTCAGGATGAGGGTGCAGGGAGCGATACAATCAGACGTTCATTTGGGGTATGCCACTCTGGCTAACATGGGAAACTAGGATTTGAAGGAGGCAGAGAAAGGCTAGAAAGAAGATGAATCTAGCTGGGAGTTCATTGAAGGCAGTTGCCCACGTGAGAAATGGCAAGAGTCTAAGCCAAGGCAGAGAAAGACACAAAGGCAAAGTGACAAAGATGAGAGGAAGGGGGCCCAGGTTCTTGCCTAAGCTCTCCCGTGACCTGTGTGACCTTGAACATGTCAGACCACTTCTTTGAACCTTAATTTCCTCATTTTCAAAAATGGAATTGGTCTGGATCATCTCTAAGCATCTTTACAAATATTTGGGAGGCTCAATGGGAAGGCTGTGGTGATGAGAAGAGGATAGGGCCACCGGCTAAGATAGAAACAAGAGGGATCTGGGATTATGATGATTTATTGAACCTCTACTCCACTGAGCTATGTAACCTCAGGAAAGTCACTTTCTCTCTCCAGACCAACGTCTCCACTTATTAACAAGGGTATGAGATTAGATCACTGCTTCCCACATAGAGACCCACAAGCTTCCTGAGAAAAGCTCCATGGTGGGATGAGCTTGGGAACTGCTTTCTGCTGGGTCCTCCCCTCAGAGATTGCCACGATGACATATCAAAGACTTGGAGGAGTTTTACCCACAAAGGGACTTAAGGATTGCAATTGCATTTGGCGCGGTTTCTCATCTCACCCCAGAATCTCACTTTCATGTCTGCTGACAACCCATAGAATTGGTGATTTGCAGAGGCTCTTGGGGAACCGCTGCTGGCTTGGATCATCTAGGTTCCCTCCTTCTCCATGCTTCCCTGAAGCCATAATCCCAAAGACTCACTGTCGCAGCCTAAAATGGGCGTAGGCTCCTTTTTCCTGTGGGAACAAATGTTCTCTTTCTCAAGGCAAGGGAAAGTTTGGGGGGACTATCTTTCATGGGAGAAAGAGCTGTTTGGATTGTAAGCTACATGTAGGGTCTTTACAATTTTTGAACAGTGGTCAAAACTCATCACAATGACCTTGAAATGCAGCACATATTGGGAATAGACCCTGTCAAGCATCTAAATCCCCGAGAGGAAGAATGTGAAAAGGAAGGAATGATAACACAGGAAAACGGGGCTGGGCCAAGAGAGGGGGCAGAGCTAGGGATGCCCACCCGGGCCAGGAGAAGGCAAGGGTCAAGGCTCATGTTGGCAAAAGTACCTGGGGGAAAGAAGAGGGAAGAGGTTTCTATCCCAAGGACAACCCTAGTAGACAGAAGAACTCTGAGTTTTGTTCAAAAAATGACAATGTGAAAAAATAAGAAAAAGAAAAGTAACCATTCTTTCTGCATGTTAACATGATCACTTGAGGACGTTGCCTCTTGCACTGCAATCACCATGCTCATCGGCCTGTAAACTTATTACTTCCACCAAATAGAACAGAAAGAAACAGAATATATTTTGATGCATCCATGTCAACATTACCACAAAAAAAAAAAGCATAGAGAAAAAGGGGTATCCAATGGTGGAAAGAACTTTTTCTGGAGAAGTCCCTCAGGTGAACACGTGCCCCCACCTTGGTGCAGGCAGAAGTCAAAGGAACTGAAAATTTTAACCCTAGCAGACATTGGGGCAAAGCACAGAACATACCCTGAGGCAGGCATTAGGCAGGAGAATGGCCATCAATCCGAGTTCTCTTAAAGAGGCAATTGGCCCGTGCCCTTGCGAAGACACCTGCTCTCCTGCAAGGATGGACCTGGGACACTCAACATCCTGCTGGGCTCACTGAGGCTAATCCCCCAACTCCCTACAGTCAGCCTCCCCATCCCAACAGGATCCTCCCAGCCAGGGCTGCACCTCCTCTGCTCACCTTTGCCATCTCATCCTTCCAGACCCCAAGCAGGGGAGGTCACCTCCATTGGAAGGCCATCCCTGAGCTCTGGGACAGAAATCTTGCATCCTCCCTCCATGAAAGCATAATGCCTTTAGTCTCCATCCATTACTGAAATGCATGGCCTTGCTAGGCTGGTTTTTATATACCGACTGGACAATTCAAACCCAAATGCAACCTCCTCCAGGGCAAGAACCTCACCTAACACTCGATTATATCCAGAGCCTAGCACGGGGTTTTAGCCCTGAGAGAAAGCTCGGACTCTGGGTGCAGTGATTGGCATGGAGGAGCCAAGCTCCTTTGCTCACCTTCAGCTGGGTGGGCACAGACTGCATTTCCACAGACACTATCGGGATTTGTGTTTCTGCAGAGAAATATTTAATTCTACTTTCTGCTAAAGCCAAGTCTCTATTGTTTAATATTAGTAACAACTGCATTATTTGTGCTTGCC